TTATCATGCCACCAATGGCTGTATTTTTATGAGAATAGTAACATTCTTCACCGGTTGGTTCAATGACATGCAAATCAACATCTGTATCATTTGTATCCCAGATCATAACAATTCTTAAATCAACTGGTAAATGACGAATTAGACGATTATCAAGGAAATTAGATATTTGTTGTTGTTGATGATATTCAAATAGAAACCAATTAAATTCGTGCAATGTTGTAACTTCAATTTCAGCAAAACGTCCATCCCACTCACCCAATATAACTGTTTTAAATAGATCTGATATTTCCGCAATAGTCTTATTTTGAATATTAGATTCTTGCAATAATAATGCTAGATCTCGATACGATTGTGGTTCATCCAATCTTAAATTTACGATATGTCGTAAAATATTCTCAACTAAATTCAAAAGACCAAGCTCGACAAGTTTATAAGCAAAAGTTCGTAATAATTGCGGTGATTCCAGTTCTAATTCTAATACGTTTGTTAAAATACGTAAACCCAAAATGTGACATTTGTTTACAGTGGAATTACTAGCATTACTGTTGCTGTCGGTTTTTTTGAAAATAATTGAACGCCAAACATTGAAATTGAGGGTGTGTATGTGTGTGTGAGTGTGAGTGTATTATTCATTACCACCCACACCCACACCCACACCCGCATTCGTATTTGATTGATGAAACATACTCTAAACGACACTTTTCGAGGATAAACATTTGTAAAAATGGCACGATCATATAGACGAGCTCATTTTTCAATATGATCAAAATCGAATGAGTTGAAAAATAGTGTCTTGAATTCATTGTGGCATTGCTGATTGCCATGTTCTTAATACGGAATATTTGATTTGATATATCTCCTGAATTGATTGATCGATGTCGACGATTTGGTTTTTATTGATATACTCATTATGTCAAGAACAGAGATATTGAATGGCTAATCTTTGATGAGTGGACTCAGTCCACTTTACGAGTTGAATGATTTTTTTTCATCGACCTTTCGGTTAATACAAACTTTATTAGTATAATATTGACTTAGAAATTCATTAGGCTTTCATTTAAGTATTCGTTTTTTTGTTTGCGAAACTAACGACGGAACTACCAGAACTGACCCTGGTTGTTTGATCTACTATAAAGTCTACAAGTAGGTATCGGTGAGACTAGCAAAAGCCTGTAGCGCCAAGTTATGACCATCCTATTGAACGTTCGACTCACCTTTCAATATTTACCGAAAAATCAAAATATGGAATTTCGAGCTAAAATTTTGTTGATAGATACATCTAATTACCCTTAGAATATCCCGAAAGTTTCTATCGAAAATGATATTACTTTGTGTAGATACTGAATTTTGAAGTAAATTTGATTTTGTGACCTGTCTGTAGCGATCGACTATTTTTTGGAAATTCAATATCCAGATAAAGGAGCTTTATTTTTAATTGAAACTTTCAGGATATTTCTAAAAGACATTAGATCTAACTATCGGCAAAATTTTAGATCGGAATTTCACTTTTTTATTTCTTGATGAGTGTCTAGAAATGAGTGGAAAATTCATGAAAAAAGTCATAACTCGACATTAAAGGTTCATGCACGCGAGACTCTTTAGACTTTTTCTAGTCTCATCAATACTTCCTTAGTGATCCAGTAAGAGCTCAAATGATCGAGGTCAGTTTGAGTGGTTTCCTTGTAAGATTTTTATAATTAGAATATTATCTTCTATGTCTGAACATATGCACAATGTGAAGATACATTACTATTAAGAGATGATTTCATCTTTCAATAAGAAAATGTCATGCATTTCATTATCAATCACAGATAGCTACTAAACAGTGGCGATCTCAAAGTTCTGGATCATTAGGACGTGGAATGCTATGACCGACAATATACGATGGAATAAAGTTAAAAATAATAATTCAGTAACTGATGACATTAGAAAAGACATATATCGTGTGCCAATATATGATCTTGTTCGCTGAGACAAAATCTAGTAGCGCAGAACTTCGTCCATTTTTAAAAACAGATGGCACATATAAAAAAAGAAATCATGTTTTTGTAAATTACGGAACTCTATATCTTGTGATATATTTTTTTTTGTAAATACAACATATGAGATGATTGAAGATTGAAATGCAAAACGCGACCATTTAATCTTTTTCACCCATTACTTTCAATTTGAGTTAGATATGTAATGAATCGCTTATCAGTCATACGAGATCTCATATTTCTTGCATTCGATTATATAAAGAAATCGATTACATTAAGAACGAAAATAAACAAATGAATTTATTTACTTTTGTTGTCTACCTTTTGCAAGGATTACTCCTGTGTCAATGTCTACCTGTTGAAGAAGATGTTGTTGTACTTGGCAAACTCAACCATTTATTAAGAGTTCATTCTCCACCAGTGGCTCGTCAAATGATGGAAGGGGTATGCGAAATGGTAGCTAAATGTTGTCCAGGACGCGATTCATTACTTGCTAAATTTATCGAAAATATTAGGGAATTTCCTAGTTTTTGTTTTGGCGAACGCTCTGCGGACGAATCATGGCATCGTCTACGCGCCTGTCCCGTAATTGACAGGCTCGTAAAAACGGTGTCACAATCTCAATTTTCCAAGTATGAAAACATATTTTCCCAAAGGCATAAAAAAACGGACCGCGCAGTTGCACTGATTTATGACGCGAACATTTTACTCGACGGCATGCCAAAAGTTTGTACACATGAAGAAATTCACAGTAGCGTTTGTGTATGGGATCATGAGAGTGTTGAAGAAGCCAAGATAAAGGCTCATGCCTGCATGAAAAAGACATTACTGAAGATCTTGGATCAACATGGGAAGGAAAATTATGAAGCAATGATTTTGGAAGCCAAACAATCTTTAAATGATACGATCCATGATTTGGCTAATGCATTTCCTAAAGTAGATGTTTGATTATTTGAGAGAAACAATCACTGATATATGTTACCAATAAAAAGTATCTATCAGTATTTTAACACCGATGTAACGAAGAAATTAAATAAATGATTGATAATTATGCATCACTCATTGCTAATTGATTCTTTCGTTTATTGAACTTGGAATCTAAACTTATAAAAGATTATGAAAACAAGCGGCAGTCTATCTTGTCTGACTCACGTTTGAAAAAGTTTGTTAGTGTAGCCTCTTTGGAGCTGAAATGTGAAGCTCATATATTATCTTTAGCTACATTATAGCAATACAAAATAAAGAATGCGTAAGATCAAAAATTCTTTCAGGGTGTGGGTGTGAGTGTCTTGCCCTTGTTTGTGCCGACATCTAGATCTACACCCACACCTACACCAAATATATTATCCGTTTTCTGAAATAAAGGATGGTCCAAAAGTTTCGACTCCTCTCAGTAAATCGATAATATCTACAGCAAACTTATATGAAGTTATTGATAAAATGATGTCATTTTGTAGAGAAAGATTAGAACTATCATCTGAAAAAACTCCAGTTGAAAATCCATAAATTTATTACAACTTTATAGTCATTTTACAAATCTTAAGTGAAAATTCTTTTTTGTTACATTTTTTGAAAAAACAAAATATGCTTGTAACATCCTAAGCAACATGTTGTTATCTGGGAATTCTTACATGATTCGATAGAGTTGGATAAGCTCTAAGAGAATGTTAATGTTTAAGAAAGTACTGATCTTATTTTCAATATAAAACTTCAAGGAAATCAGAAAGACCAATAAAAATTTCATATATCAAATAAACGAGAAAGTAAGTTGAGCTGCCAATAGCTTTAGCTAGTTGACTGTTCCATCTGTTCATATAGCTTGGCAGAGTTATTTTCAGCTTCAGTATGTGACGCTGCATCTTGAAACATCAATTAACAATCAATCAACTAAAGTTATTGAAAGTTAAGCATACCATCTCATGCAACATATCTGAAACTATTATTGATCTGCGTGGTTTCTTTCAAGGGTTTATATTGGAAACAGGATTCGAATTCTTCGTAATATTCATATTCTTGTAGAGCTTGACGAACTCTATCGAATCATATAAAAATATCTGTTAAAACCACGTAGAAAATAATATTTTGGTCGACTTTAGCAACTCAGGCAGTAAAGACTTTTTTGTTTTTTTTTCAAAAAATGTAACGTAAAAATTTTCACTTAAGATTTGTAAAATGACTATTGCATTGTAATAAATTTATGGATTTCGAACTGGATTTTTTCAGATGATAGTTCTAATCTTTCTCTACAAAATGACATAATTTGATCAATAACTTCATATAAGCTTGTTGTAGATATTATCGATTTGCTGAGAGGGATCGAAACTTTTGGATCACCGTTTAGTTTGAACAAAACACGTTTTGAGTTAAGATGAAAAACAATTATCACTTAGAATGAATGTATTCTGACATTCGGTGCCTGTCGATTTCAGAAAAACGTTTTTCAATATTGTACAAAACACATGCAAAGTAGACGTACTTTTAGTGCAGGAAGTAAGTCAGTATCCATCAATGACAAACCACTAACAACATGAAAGTTATTGCATTATTCAGAGATATAGACTAATGATATGTAGATCAATCATATTGGGGTAGAATATGTATCATCGAATTTTTATTAGTATACTGACAAAAAACGACGTCATTCAATAACATGGTAGTCATTTTTTTCTTTTAGATGATGAAATAACCATAAAGATGTGCTGTTTGAGAAAAAAAATCTCACTAATCTGAATCACAAAAGAATTTTGATTTCAAACATTACAGATTTCTTCAAAAACAAGTAGAAAAAAATTCTCTTCAAAAGTTCAACCGCTGCCGCGCCGCACCGCGAGGGTGTGGGCGTCACTGAAGAGATGATCGACACCCACACGCACATCCTCGTGTTTGGTCGGCAAAAATCACTCTAAAACTTATAATGGCTTTTAGTTGAATATAATTAAAACAAATCGTAGATTTTTGCAAAATGTTTCAACTCAATTCAACCAGGTTCATGGCTTGAATTGAATTGAGTCGAGTTGATCGTTTCTTGAACTGGTATGCGGAACTCTGTGTTTTCCAGTTACAGTATTTTATAAACCATTTTAACTTCTTTCTTTAGGTTTTCTGGAAATTAGCCGAACCGGCAAGAATCTTCATTCATATGATCCGTCGGTAAATTGCACACAAACATACATCTTTATTGTATAATTATTAAACAGCATGAAAGTTTTTAAAAAGATATTCAGATAGTTCAAAAGTTACTTTGTCCAAGAAACTTAATACTTCTGTCATACTTTGCTCGAATTAGCTGATACTTCTCCGACTGAGAAGAGAATCTTGACAGATTATATTCATAAGAAAAAACTTGACAGATACTGCTTTGAAGTATCATCGTTATTCTTACTAAAGAATTGAAACGTTATACGAATTATGAAAAAACAATATCATGGTTTCTTTAGACAGAGGTAAAATATGTACGTATATGCATAGATATTCTTTCTATTAACTCTTCACAGAAGTAGCGTTTGGTAGGAAATTTATACCACAAATACATGTCTGATTACTCATTGTATTTTGAAATTTTCAGCTATAAAGAGTAAGGATTCGTTACGAAAACAGAAACATAATCGTTTTCATTATTCACAAAAGCTTAAAGTTCTTTATTGAAGTCAACGATGATATTGCAAAGTAGTGTTTGTCAATGTTTTTCTTCTGAATATGACCTATCGACACATTGTTATCAGTGGTAACAGATTAACCCATTCAATGAAAATAAAGCTGAGATATTCAGACATTTTTTTTCTTCGTGAAAAGACTTTTGGACTATCCTGTCTATCTCCTTAGTTATTTCTGCTGCGTCTCATATAAATTGATAATTTCTTGTTGATTTCCTTTTCGTTTCTTGCCTTCAGCCGCATGTGAGAAAGGATAAACACTTATATGTACAATGTTTTCTTTCCATAATGACGATGTATGTATTGGTTCTCTTTTTGCACTTGCTCTTCCTTTTGACAAGTATCCTAATGACATAGATTTCTTTGCCCACTCTCTCTTTCTGTTTCATACCATGTAAACAGATACTCATTTGTCTTTATCTTGAAGTGTCGAGTTAATCCTTATTTCGAGATTACAGTTTTATTTTCTCGTTTTCATATTTGATACTAAAAAAATTACATGGCCAAAGACTCTTCATGGGACAATATGAAATTGAAAAGATGGTCACATGAGATGGGATACTTTTAAAAATCTTGCATTCCATTCTGTTCCATGGAACGTCATATTCGTCGAATAGTTTTTGAAAAAGTGAAATTCCATGGCACAGCTATTGATTGTACCAATTATAAAAAATACGATTACACTGAAAGAAATCCGAAAGTAGCGGCATAGACATTTTCTTTCCGTATAGAAAGTTTTAGACAACTTTCTCTTTAAATATAATGATAGCAAAAACAATCTTATATTTTTTGGTAATGTTTGATCATTCTTTAATTAATATCATAATAGAAAAATTTCAATAAGAGCTAATGATTATGATATGTGACCAAAAAAAAAATAATCATATTGTCTTTGGTGTATATTTATCTTTTGCTCTTCTCTTACATCCACATACCGCTATAATGCATAGACATGTACACCAGAGAGCAAAATTGTATTTCCCCTAACTCAATTACAATAGACAAGAACGCAATTTATGTGACAAAACTATATAGTTCTGTCTTTCCTCATAAAACATGTTTACATAAGTGACTGTCTATCTTACGAGACGAATGATATGAGATAGGACGTTAACACTTTGATAAACGTCTCGTCAGATAAGATGGACGTGGAAATTTCCTACTTTACGCCAAATTCTGATGGGTATAAATATCATTCGCTCGCCAGCCATAGGCATAGATACACATAGGCGCACATATTTTTATCAAAATTGTTGTATCTCTGCTAAAAGAAGTAAGTTTGAGCATTATTTTTTTATTGTGTCCCTTACAATCGATATTCATTCTATTAGAATAAATAAATAAAAACTATAAAGAACGCCAGATAAGTACGGTTTTTCAATATCAATAGTTATCAGTGTCTTCGATACTAATTAGAAATATATAAAACCAAAACCGTTTGAAGGTTGGTTTTAGGTATTTGGCTTTACTACTTGAGTTCACCAAACTATTCGAGTTTAGATTTAATTTCGTCTATCTCATGTTGCTTCTGTATATTCAAATATTATTTTTCTGCATAGATATAAGCAAAACCATATTTCTATGTTTTACATTGTGAAGTACCAAAATTAAATTATTTGATAAGCATAGCTACATGATCAATTCCATATCTTCTTCTCATATTCACTTTCTCGAAATGTATTTTTTACTTTGTGTGTCAATACTAATAGTTATTTGGAGATCCAATTGATGACGTTAACGTCGAGATATCTCCTTAATGAAAACATTCATAGTTATACGGCTACTTTCTGATTCCACTTTTGACCCGAAAACAGTATTCCAATGAGTGTCATCATTTGTTTTAAAGCCATTGAATTTCTCTAGAACAAAAGAAAAAATTACAGATTAAAAGAGATTCAGTATCATGTTTGGCTTTTTAAACTGATTTCTGCAGTTTATTTTTGTTTTCTTTAGCACTTTGTGTCTGTTTATATCTAATTTCAGTCTGGGGTATATTTCGAATTCATCATCATAGGTGAACATTAGTTCTGAGTTTAGCGATGAGTTCAGAGAGGAGATCCAATTCCAAACTCAAAGTGTTTAGATTTGCTGCATCTCTGATGTTAACGCCTATAAGTGTTTGTATTAAGTAGTTCATTTTACAGGTATCTAAATTACTTGTTTTCAAAGAATTTTACTTATTCGCATGTTTTCTGGCTAGGGATGACGATTTCCTGTTAATCTACTTTGAATTTAAATCCCTTCAAATTAAAAATTTTCAGCTGTGAAAATGTAAATTTCTTTAAATCTAGTTTAAATAAATTTCTTAAAATGTATTTTTACATTTATTAAATTTTCGTATATGTAAATTGTTCACTCATATTTCTGAAAGCCAATCGAAAGGAATCATTTGCAGTATACAAATTTTAAGTGGATTTTCAATGGATACTATGATTCCCATTATCATCAGACAATATTTATAAAAATATAAAATATTTCTAACTAGGATACGTAACATCAATCGACCAATTATCGACATGGATATGCCTATCACCTTATATCATAGTAGAGTCAAGGGCTTCTCATTTTTCATTCTATTGGACATTAACGATTTACCCTTCCTATACAGTATTGTAATGATTATATGTTTTTAGTAATATTTGCGTACATTAATATCAGCAGATGAATGCATTCATGTCGATCATTAGCTGCCAGATGTTTAATAGAAATGTTGTATAATGTATCTTATACTGAAATTTTGATGTCTTACTAATATGGTTTGATAATGACCGGGATCGTGAAATCTGTCGTAAATGCACTAAAATAAATTTATTCTTCACTAAAGTTTTGTTGCTTTAAGTGACTTTTTTCGCCCAATTGTAGGTGTGGATGTAGATCTGTCCTTCGCCTTCACCCACTCCCTGCTGTGACAGCGAAGTAGAATACGTCGACGACACTATGCGAATGATCATTACGAAAAACTAGATAAACATAGTTGAGAATGTCAACAAGGACAAATTATAGCATAAGTTCAACAATTAACATTTTTTTTACTTGAGATAAACGTGAAAAAAAATCTTGAACTTCAAATGTAATTTAAAGAAAATGTCACATCTCTAATCTTTGTTCTATAACAGCATTCGCTAGTTCATAAAAAAAAAACTTCACTTAATAACTGGAATATTTCTATCTACATTGTTAAACATCTCATAATATGTAATCCATTAGAGATCAAATCAAATAAAAGAGTAAAACTCTCAGTTATTGTTTGATATTCTTGCTGTTTTATATTACTAAATGCACGTTATTTTATTGTTTTCATCGCATACTTATCTAAGTAGTATTATAACATCCTTGTTCTTTTTTGTGTAGGTACACAAACCGATTTAATCTAATTGTTAGTCGACTTTGGTTGTCAACACGATGATTAGATTCAGACTCATCTGCTTGTTATTTTTGGTCTGCAAAACTGCAGCTCTTACTCTCGGACTAAATTCAGACGCTGCAACATTGAAAGAAGAGCAGGTCAATAATGTAGAAGTCAAATCAAATTCTAAGAACAAACGAAGTTTAACCAACACCATGGTGAATACTCATGTGTTAACAATGTTTGATTATAAAAACAGTCAAATTTACGTCTACAGTGCCCTGTCAAATGAAAACGAAAATCGTCACATGCCTCAGAAGTGGGTCTTTTACTTTACACCAATTATGATGCCAATAATCACAAATGATCCAACAGAGAAATGGATATTCACAGTTAAGAACGAAATTAGAATCAAGTTGATGTTGAGTAATGACGATGTTAAAGAATTGGCAAGAAGTGCAATCATCAAGAAACACAATTTAACCATTGCTGAATATTCAAAGGTCTGGGATATTGCTCCACTAATGATAGACTCATTGACAGCTTATATCATTGGAGGAACCAACATACCTGTTGCAGGTGTCAGTCCTTACACAACTACTCATCCAAATCAGTTGACAATACAATTTCGATTCGAGTGTTCTTCTGAGGAACGTGCAAAAGAAATCGTAGAAAAGATCATTGATGACGTCTATGAAATCGAAGAAGCATTTTACTTTTCCGGTTTCAAGGAAGTGGCAACAAATCAAATGTCGACTACCAGTGACCAAGTGAGAAATGTGAATAGTAAAACGATTGCTGATGGTGGCAACAGAAACGCTAAGTATATACATCGCAGTCAGGGATCAGTATTTGTAAGTAAATACGCAACCAATGTAAAGAAGATGATTTATATGGACAAGTCAAACTTAAACTTCTCATCATTAACCGTTGGTCTAGAAGATCAATATACTGCATTGCTACAACAAGGTAGACATTCTTGTGCTATGTTCACGATTAAATATCGTCATGTTTTTGTTTCGCATTATAGCAATGACTTCTTCGAATGAGATAAAACTTGATATTAAACTCTACGATGAAGTTTGGTCGGCAATGGACTTCAATCCTGATCGAATCACTAGTGAAATGAAGAAATTATTCATTTATAATGAGACTGAGACAAAGAAACACAACCATATGGATCAATATTTTTATTTTAATACAGCATCTGCAAATTTATCGCCCAGTTTAGGAAATGTCAGTACATGTGGTCCCCCCTTTTGTAGTGGTGTTCAGAATGGGTCGTCGGATTCATTATCAGATCATCTTTCACGAACGATGCAGTCAATATTTTCACTAACAGAAATCCAACATTTATTCAACAAAGTGTCAATAGAAATTGCATGGACGGGTGGAAAGTTCATTCCGAAGTCCTTCTCTGTTTATCGACTCACCGATATCACCGATCTGCTACAAGTTGACATTTTCAACAAGCAGCTAAAGGCCGAGCAGAAAAGTGGTGCTACTATTCGTAGAATAAATACGAGAAGCAAATCATTATCCACTTCAGAACGATACTCATGTCCGCTTGTAGGTGAAATAAAATTGTACTTAGGCAAGGCATCATGTCTACCATGTACTTGGATGTTCTGTCATGGACAAGCTCTCTCCCGCATCCACTATCAACTTTTGTTTTCTGTCATTGGTGAACTATTTGGAGCTGGAGATAGAAAAACAACGTTTAATGTACCTGATTTTCGTGGTCAATCTCCAGGTATTTCAACTGGTCAAACTAGAATAGGACTTTCGTATAATGGCACTCATTCTCAATCAATTGCGGGATCAACAGCTTCAACTGAAAATGGCCAACCATTCAACAACATGCCACCTTATCAAACCATTAATTATATCATTTTTACTGGATTCTGCGACACTCATGATATGAAAAGGAATGCCACGCATACTGTTGCTTCCATTTCCACTTACCACGTTAACAGTAAGTGTTTTTGTTTTGCATGATCGAAAACCTTCCTATACAGCAGTAATGCACGGCTAGCTTAACGACTGGTTATTTATGATTGGACTGCAATATTCATCACTTATCATCTCCTAATATCTTGAATAGGGAATATCACATTTCTATACATGACAACTAAAAAACATGTCTCGAATTAGTGTAAGTACACGAGAAACCTTGTTTTCTTTATAGAAAACCAAAAAGCGGCTTATTAAGTTCTATCTGCGGAAAGAACCTTTTCTTATGTAATGTATGTTAGGAAAGTGCATTCTCGAAGAAGAGGAACATCTTTTTCATAGCTCCTTCTCGTAAGAAAGAGAGCGCGAGATCGAGATCTCTCCGACAGCGAGAACGAATTCTTTTCTTTTTCGTTTATTGAAGTGGCCTTCAAGATTACAACCCATATCCAATGAGTACTGATTAGGATCCACACTCAGTGTTCGATGTATTCTAGAAACTTCATTCATGAGATGCTCCTTACAGTATCAGGAGCATGTAAGTTCAAAAATGAGGATTCCTAGAACTAATTAGTACTGCATAAGAATTATAGCAATTTTCTGAATTTCAGATTCTGACAGAGTTGATTGCTATTTAGTCGTAGAAATTTTCTTCAAGAATCCTAAAACAATAGCTTGAAGGTGATTTTCTCAAATACTTGATTAAAACTTTCTAGAACATGCTTCGATGTACTCAGTATTTCAAATATAGAAGTTGTCCACTTTCAAAGATTCACGTGAAATCTTTTCATAATTTCTCACTTTCGCATGCATAGAAACGTGCTTATGACCTTTATAAGATCCTAACAAAATCGTCCTTCGAATATCTTGATATAAGTTAGCAAAGTCCTATACATTCTTCCTGCATACTGTATGCATATGTGCAGGAAAGTCTTTGACAGGTTTGTATTCATCATCTTGAAAATTCTATAATCAATATTTTCTTGGAATCACAAGAAAAAGATAAAAAAAGACGATACGAAATTCTTCGTGTTCTAAAAACAAATACTGATTGCGTTCATTTATTTTCTAAATATTTTACATCTTTTTTAAAAGAATCAGATAGTATATTTTGAGGTTTTCAGCGTAGGGTGCTAACAAAGGTCATAAGTTTATTGTTTGATAATCCATGTCTGATGTTCCGAATAAATTCGTCGAGGTTTTCAGCTTGCTAGGAATCTATGTGATAATTTCACTATAACTCTGCATTTGAGAATATGCATGAAATCATCAGATGGCCTTGTCCTCCTATCAGAAGCTGCCATCGAACTAGCCTTGGTCTTGTCAGCATTTTAGAAGTTGAAAAAATAGTATTGTTGGATTTCAAGTCTGTGTCGACTGATGAATACTGTTCCAGTACTACTACTGAGCAATATATTCACAGTCTGAATTCAGAAAGATTACAATAAATTTTTTTTGTTTTCTTCTAGATGAATTGACGCTGCTCAAACCTGCGCCTGTTTTGAGTGCTACTAAACTTAAAGTGGAACCATCTAGTACGACGCTTAAATCGACAGTCAAATATACACCGAAAACAAGTATGTTACATTCAACCAAGGGGGTAAGTGCTGCACCATTGCACCAAAATATGCTCAAAGGTGCTGAAAAGGTGCTGAGGTGCCGAGATGGTGTTGAAAAGGTGCCGAGGTGCTGAAATGGTGCTGAGGTGCTGAGATGGTGCTGAGATGGTGCTGAGGTGCTGAGATGGTGCTGAGATGGTGCTGAAATGGTGCTGAGAAATTGCAGTGGCGCTCACAAAGTTTTGGGAAATATGATAGAAATTGAGGTTATCGCTAGGGGTGAGAGTCATATTATCATAACTTGATTTTTGTCTGCTCAAATAGTGAGTACACTCTAGAATCGGTCAGTATGTCCAGCCGTCCGGTCGTTAACACGATAACTTTTGAAAGGAGAGTTCAATCGCGATGAAATTTTCTACACAGCTTAGTCTCATCAATGTCTCGGTCGAGTTCGAAGATGAACAGGATCCGTCAAGAAATGGCTGAGTTATAGAAAAAATTGTCGTTATTGAGAAGACCATCCCTGAGGGGGAGTACAGGGATTTTTTCAAAAAAAAAATTTTTCTCCGAATTATTCACAAGATATATACATCGACTCAGTTTTGAACGCTGATTCCGAATCTGATATTAGTTTTGAACCAAATCGTAGCTTTCTAACAAAATATCCCCTGAAAAATGTCTAAAAATGCATAAAAACTGCATGAAGAAAGCAAATAGGGTAGACATGCCTGAGATGATAAAAAACACAGTGAATATACCTGTTCCCTTTTTGAAGTACACATAACACTCGGATTTAAATCCGATGTTTTCGCATTTATTTGGTTCACAATAAGAATGTTTTGAGAAAATAACGATTTTTTATGAAACATGACTAAAGGTTTTCGAGGTCAAGGTATCTGAATAGTAAGATGATTTCTCAAATTTTGTGTATTTGGGAATCTCGCTCGAGAAAGGGTATCTCTCCATAAGATTTTTCTTCGCCATTGTACGGGCAAAATATGGTATTATTCGGACCATATGAAAGAGAAGCACTGGAAAGCCCTTGATCGGTGCGGACAACATTATGTTTTGTTCTTACAATAGCAGAAAAATCTTTTCCTGAAATCTGATTGACGAGGAGCTTTCTCATTTCAATCTATCAGACTTAGGAAAGGTATTTTCCTCTATTTTAACGATAAAACAATCTTGCTTTGGTAGATCTAGTGGTTAGCAGAGGTCCTCTTTCATATGGCCAAAAAATACCATGTTTTGCCCGTATAATAGTGGAGAAAAACCTCGTGAGAAGATACTTTTTCTCGAGCGAGATTCTCAAATCCACAAAATTTGAGAAATTATCTTAAGATTCAGATACCTCTATGTCGAAAACGTTTAGTCACGTTTTATAAACAAATCGTTATTTTCTCGAAATACTATTATTTTGATCAAAAAAATTGAATGTGTATCATTTACCACATATTGTGATTCCCAGATTCATCCGTAGATCATCTCCACATTTGTGGATACTTAAACAATCATGATCAATTCTGGTAACTAAATAGAGATTTTGATTTAGAGATTTTTCAATGTAGGGATTTTGTTTTAAATACACAGTATACCATACAAACCAAAACCGAATAGCGTCTAAAGTATTCATGCCATTCTGTACACATGTTTCATATTCTTGTTGACTGAAGATCTCTTATTCATTAGTCTTACAACAGAAATCTTGTTCAACTATAATGTATTCTGACACCGAATCTGGTCACCAGATTCGGTGTCGGAATACAAATGTTTAATATCTTATCCTTTTTTTGTCGTCTTATCTCGTTAATCTGTCTAATCATTGTAATTTATTTGGAAATTATATCACATATTCTACTTTAAA